TTCCTTAAATACTTTTTCGAGCGTCTTAGGTGTTTTTTTCCCAATGTCAAAATGGGGTCTGCGTCTGAAGTTTTTTCCAATGGAATTCAGTCTTTTTTCCAGGTCTACCCCGCGAAGGACAAACCCCAAACTGGCACTGATCTCCCATGCTGCCAACTGCCCCTAGCAAAAAGGCGTTTAAAAGAACAAAGGCCTTTATTCCATTTTATTCCCCTGTGCTCTACGTTTTCAAACTTTGCTCAAGACAGCTGAATGCACTTTCTTGATCTGTTCATGTTTTCGACCCTCACAACAGAAAGCTGGGCCTTGGTGGCGGGTTTGAATCGTAGCGGCCATGAAGCACCTGAAACCTTGGATGGTGACCTCGCCGTGGAATCAGGCTGCAATTTGGCTGTAGAGATTCCAAGTGCCGCCGTTCACTCTGCACAGGGGTTCGGATAAGAGTCCTGGGGTACTGCGGAAACACAGCACGATGGTTTTGGCTTTTTTATCACACTCTTGCTCCGCACTTCACTCACAACATCTGTGGATGATGGCATTGGCCAAGCAAGCCACACACGCCACCTTTCTTAAGGACGGGAGAATTCCCCTGCTGCAACGGGCCAATTGAGCATCAGAAGCTCTTGAAGGATGTGGGCAAAGCCAAGAAGCGGGCGCCGGCGACCCTATGCCACGGAGCTGCGCTAGCATCTCTGGCATGAAATCAATCCTTTCAACAGTCTGCTACATCCAGACTGAAAGGAAGGACCGCACATTCGGTAATTATTAATTTCAAACCTCCACGAATCGAGATTCTTGAGCTATGCTTGATGGACCTCGCAAGCAGCAAACATTGGATATTCCGCAAATTGAGAACAAGAACGGAGGTGAAAGGCAATCCTGTATGCACTTACAAGATCCGCGCAAATTGAAAAAGTGCGACAACAAACTCATGGGACCAAGCCCTGCCGTGCCGCTGTGCCTTTGTTTCGGGCACCGATTCGACTCTGGCGAACGCACAGGAAGTGCATGGACAACGGACAGTCTTCCCAACTTGGCAGAGCCTTCAGCCAAGACGGTGGTATCTGGAGAACGGACGCATCTGGGAGGTTAGACGTCAAATATACACCGACACTGCGGTCAGTGGAACGTGGGGAAGCTGCCCACTGTCTCCGCCAATGGGTTTCCACCCTTCTCACTGCTGCCTGATATTTAGAGGTAAGTAAACTGATATAAATTGGGTATAGAGCTATGTGCTGGTGGCAGCGTCCAAACGCAGGCTCTGCAAAGCTCACTGATAAGTTTCCAAAGAGAGGTTTCCTTGTGTTGCAGGCACAGATTGTAGCAGCGTAGCAGCTCTGAGGCTCGAAGTACAGGGTTCGACCACAATCCCTGGTTCCAATCCCTGGTTCAGAAACTATAGCGGCCAGAAGAGCCGTGTTCGACACGAATTTCCAGGACTATGCTGCAGCTTCTCAGACAATTCATGACCCAAGGCACGCTTCATGCGCAACCTAAACTTCCCCTGACCAACCCACATGAAACACTTGAAACACAGGAAGCTGTTTCCGGCGATGACTTCACATTGCATCCACTTGCCAACACCCTACAACCAAGTACCTGGCAGTTCTCTTTGCTGCCAGAAGTTACAAGAACCAACTCGACCTGGCCGAGCTGAGCCTCCACTTTCCCGCTCACAGAGCCACAAAGTGTTTTGGGGAGTGGGTTAAACCACTCTGAACCCCGTAAGATGTCTGCAGGTTGGGCACGAAGACTTCAATGACTGCAGAGATGGTGATGGTGAAAGACTACTTCGAGCTTTGCTGGACTATGAAGACTCAACATTCAAGCCGCTCCAGTTGTATAGATCTCCAGAACCTGGTTGTGAAGACGTCAGAGATAGTGACGGCGCACGATTCTGCATGATTGCCTGCGGCTGCGCTTTGTGGGGTTATCTACTGTAAATTGTGTAAAGCAAATGCCTTGGGCAACGCATGGGACCAAGGAGCTTAGAAGGCGCCGTCATGGCTGCGCCAATGTGTAGGGAACATTCGTAGCAATTGAACCACCTGCAGCCCCATTTGTAGCGGCATTTTCTTTGTGATGCCCTATTGGTAGCAGCATTGACTGTTTGAATCAGGCACTGTAGTGCCGATGTGGATCAAAATCGTTCACTGGCACGTGTGACGCTTGGCTATGTTATTTGTACAAAGTACTGCGAGGTGGGGCTTGCTGGCTACAGACTGCTCGGCCACCTCTCCACTTCTTATACTTATACTTATACTTTTTCTATCCTTTTCTGACCTCCATCGGAAAGCGGCCATTACAAGCTATAACAGAAGAATCAAACACCAAAGAGTTCCCTCTCATGTATTCTTGGTGGAACCAATGTTGCATTCAGGCTCCTTATCTTCCAGTCGTGGTACATGAGTTATCAAACAGTTTGGCCGGCCGCCGTGCTCCTCAATTACTTCAGCTTGATTGCAGATTTCAGCGCTATGAAGCAGTGGGCCTCAGCTTCTTTCAAATTACTCTGGCAGTGATTCTTCAGCAACGCACCCCGAACCTTATATAGGAAAACAGACGCATCATACGCAAAAATTTCTGAACGACTGTGTCGGAGTGGCATCTGCAAAGGAGAACGAGTCGCTGGCCTGAGGCCACCAAACACCGTTTGCATCTTGTGCTGGGTCTGCTGGGTGCTCTCAAACTCTGAACGCACCCCAAACGCTCTCCTGATGGGCATCCCCGGGGTGCCTTGTAAAACCATGACATTTCCTGGCGCACCTTGTTAGAAACAAGCAGGGGGAGTTCGGTTCAATACCCCAACACTCTGCAGCAAAATCCCTGTTGCATGCGTTGAGCTGGGCTTGCGCAAAGGGAAACACTGCATTTTGGGTGTCTTTTGCCTTAAATTAATGGTGTACCCACGCCATCTAGTGACTCTAGTGACAACAACCTTTGGCTGAAACGGTAGGTATCGCCAGGGGCAAAGACAAACAAAACAGGACAGCAGAACCAAACGCGGACAGCACAGCAGAGGTCCCAATTGCGGAACACATCACTTGGTGACGATCAAACTTGGGTGTCGATCGGCTTGGCCGGGTTACTGTATGGAACAGTCATGGTTCTGCCAAAAGTACCAAATGACCAGTCACATGTCATGGAGGCCCATTGGCACAGCTGCTAGCTTCTTTCGGCAGGATGCCCATATGCCATGATCTCTCAACACTACGTGTCATGTCAGAGTGTGACAGCTCTTTAATGTCATCTTTTTGGCTGTCCCTGGCAACAAAGTGATGTAAGGATGTAAATTGGGTGTGCTTGTTGCAGATAGTTCCGACACCTCTCCACTTCTCATCATACTTTTTTGAACTGTACAGTCAGAAAACGGCCGTTGCAAGCTACCAGGACGTCAAACACTAAACAGCTCCCTCTCAAGCATGCTTAAAGTATTTTGCGCATCATCTTGCAAGCTTCCAAAGACCCAAGTTGGGTTTCAGAAGGGTCAGGTCTCACCAAATGTGGCTTGCTTAACGAGGGGCTTGTGCTTTGGAACAAACGGGTTACTTTTTCAGGATTTGGTCATTAGTCATGACTCCTCTGGGCTGATCTGACTAAAACTGACTGAATGAGTGGGAAGGGACATACACGGCTTGCAGGAGCCAAAGGAGCTAGTCAAGGAATTCTTGACATGGCTTGCAGAAAACTGTTGAGTTATGCCTGCTCCCCAAACCGAGATGGAATTCAAGAGAGGGAATTCAAAGCTTCGAGGTTGCGGCCAATAGTGGCCCTCACTTGGAAGGCAGGAACTGGAAGCTTGCAGGAAACACCTGACTCGAGCGTCCGCAAATAAAATGTGCAAATCTGTCCCACAAAACGATGCCTCGCGAACTTGGCCTTGCTACGCATTGGCCAGCCTGCCAAAAATCCTATGACATACACGGCTTGGAGGGCCAAAGGAGCTAGTCAAGGATTGACATGGCTTGCAAAAAAAATCAAGTTAGGCCTGCTCCCCAAACCGAGGTGGAATTCACGCGGCGGCCAATACTGGCCCTCACTTGGAAGGAAGGAACTGGAAGCCTGCGGGAAACAGCTGTTTCAAGCACCCTCACATAAAATCTGCAGATCCGTGCGGCAAAATGATGCATCGCAAACTCGGCCCTTCTTTGGAACAGGATCTGAAATCGTTGGCCAACCTCTCACAAGCCGTAATCTTATTGTGAGAGCCACGACCCGTTTTAATGAACTGACAATTTGTCTGCACATGCCTAGATGAACAGCATACAATTTGCACTTCCTTGGGTCAAACCCGTGCTAACAACAAATTTTAACCGCAATTCTCGAGCATCTTGCTTTGACATCCAACATTCGATCAACACCAGGGTCACATGTTAGGTTTACAGGGGAAAATCTGAGACGGTCGCGGATGTTATCTCAGCAAGCCTGATCTCCAGGCAAATCGCCAGAAGCTGAGAGCCAAAAAACCCTGCTCATGCAGCGTGTTCCAAAATTCTTCGAGAACAACAAGTTTGCAAGGCTTAGTTGGAGGATGTTGGAGGATAGAGTCGCAAGTGTTTTTCTTGAAGCCTTAGTGGCCTCAGTGGCCTTCATTCTCTGAGGCCTCGCGGCCTCCCTGGGACAGTTTGACCGCGGTTCAAAGCTGCCCAGACTGGAGAGCTCGAGAGCTCTGGGACATATCAACAACGGAAGTATCAATCAGACACCAATATTTTGCCGATGGCTGAAAGCTGTTTTCTACACCTGACATGTTGAGGAACATGGGATCACAGATTCAGTGCCCGCTCCGGAGCAATCATTGCCATTCAGAAAGCATAAGCAGGCCCTATTTCGTGCAAAATGCAGAAGAATTATTCTTTGAACTCATCAGGACATTTTACATCCAGAACTCCCAAGCCCCGTGCTATTGTGGTGCCTTTCAGGTTTGATGCAACCCGCTCTTAGATTACATCGCATATAGACATATGAACAGGCTTACTATTGGAAGCGACTGTCCAGTCGGTCTGTGGATTGGTTCAAGTGGTCCCCTTCTGTCGCCATTACTCTTGCAGCAGCCTCGTGTCGCGGGTTTTCTCTTTGGTGCTGCCTACTCATTGCAAAACTACTTTCGCAAACCTTCACGGCTGGCTGAGTTTTTCGTACATTGTTGCGGCCGGCTGAGTTTTTCATACATTGTTGCGAAGTTAATGCATTTGAGGAACAGTGATTTTAGTTCTTGCGAAGGTATGCTACTTGAACCGCCCTTCATCCGAAGACTTTTGGGTGTATGGATGCTGCTCGGATGACTTCTCTCCAGTTGGGAACTGGCAGCACTGGACGACAATTTTCTTGGAAGAAACACAGTTCGTTTCGTGGTGCAACTGATGTACAGCGCAAGTACAGCCAAGGGATCTGGAGTCTATAGAAGGTATCCAGAGAATGCGAGTCCAACGGATATACCTGATACCTTTGGTTTCAATTTGTCAACGGGGCAAAACACGCCTCACAGTATACCGCTGCTGGGCAAACGATGCACAAATGTCGAATCAAATCTCAATCGCTACGAGTCTGGGATCGAGCTGCTTAGTTTCACCTGCTCCATGAGATTGAGAAAATGCCAAGCACCTGGGGCGAATGTGCCACACCCTTGACACTGATGGCAAAACACTCGCCCGAGGGCTGCTGAAAGCCAAACGCTACACCAAAAAACACAGAAGGTCGAGACAGAAAAATATGATTACGCCCTTACCACCTAAATTTCTTGCAGCGCGTGAACTTGTTGAGAAACACAAACAAAAACAAAAAGCCTTTCTCACTTTCCCATACCATAACCGTGGAAGATCAACATGACAAATCATGTTGTGTCTGCGAAATCTCGTACTGGCAAAAGATTCCCCAAGTCGTCTTCAAGAAACCAATACGCTAAGCTGGCGTCGTGACAACCGTATCCTGAATTAGGGAAATAATGGCCTCAAACAGCTTGACCTTGTCACAGGTCAGTCAGATCAGTCCTAGTTATTTCACTCACAGATATGCGGAGTAACATCCCATCAGCGCACCAAGGCCCAGGTTCCAGCAGTAGGGCAAGCTGAAGGTGCCCAGGTAAAAGAAGCAGGTCACCAGCCTTCAACGAAAAAAAACCAGCCATGCCATGCCTCACCTCTCAAAAAAAGGGACTGGGCCTTGGCCATGCCTTTGTTTCATGTTTGAAAAAATTGGGTAGCTGGTTTCAACCCTGAAAAGTATGCTCGTCATTGGGGATCATAATCCCAGGGCGAGCCCGCGCAGTCGAAATGCACATCAACATGTCACAACAGCCACTTTATGCGGACATTTACAGGAAAAATGCCGCTGCACCGAACCGCGCCGCACACTTTGTACGAGCCTGCGCAGTCGAAATGCACATCAACATGTCACAAGAGCCACTTCACATGGAAATTTACAGGAAAAGTGCTTACCAAGTCCGGAAAGTGTTTTTTGGGCTCAAGACTCAAGACCCTGTGAATCCATCTGACTCGGAAGAACGTTCTCATCAAGCCTGGTTCTGGCTGCTACCCATGGCACACGGCAGCAACGCCCGGCCTGCCAACCCAATCATCCCCGAACCCTAAGTGTAGTGGCAGGTGGACTTGCCGGATTTCCACCATTACGAAGTCCTGCCTTGGGCACAACAGCTAGTCTCTTCGAGCGGAAGCCACATGCTTGTGAAATATGTGAATATGTTCAGCCAGAGAGTGAAAGCGTCGTGAACATAATATGGACGAATATTTACGATATCATTTTGGACCATTGCAGTCTCACTGAACACTGCAGGTTATGTATGTTGTTTTTTGTGGCGCAAAAGCGCCTCGGATCGTAAGGCAACTTGATTGCCTCGAAAAAGAAAACGTCCTGCGTGCGAGGCACCAATCTAAGAACCCTGCTCCAGAACCTCTTCCAAGTCAAAGAATATGGGCTGCAGCTCATTGCCCAAACAGGTTTGAAATGTCTGAAGACCAGCAGGTGTTCTCAAAAATCCGTTCTATGATCTACATGTGCATAGATGGGAATATTATCCCTGCAAGAGACCCCAAACAGTGTGGGGGGTGGGAGGATCATGTATGATAATGTTGATGATGATGATGATGATGGTGGTGATGATGGTGATGATGATGATGATGGTGGTGATGATGATCATGATCATGATCATGATGATGAGAATGACGATGAGGATGAGGATAAGGATGATGATGTTGAGGATGATGTTGAGGATGATGAGGTGCACGGGGATGGCAAATGAATAGGTTTTTGCCAATTTACCGTGACGATGGCAACGAGTAAAAGTTTCTGTGTGTAAAAGCTCTTCTGTGTACAAACTTTTCTGTGTAAATGTTTCTGCATGTAAAAGTTCTTCTTTGCAAAAGCTTCTGTGTGTAAAAGCTCTCTGTGTAACAGCAGCAGCTCTTGTGTGTAAAACAAAATCTCTTCTGTGTAAAAGCTCTTCTAGGCTCTTCTGTGAAATAGCTTCTCTGTGTAAAAGTTAATCTGTGTAAAAGTTTCTGTAACAGCTGTGTAAAAGCTTTCTATGTAAAAGTTCTTCTGTGTAAAACCTTTTCTGTCTAAAAGATTCTCTGTGTAAAAGTTCTTCTGTGTAAAAGTTCTTGTGTGTAAAAGCCTCTGTGTGTAAAAACTCTTCTGTAGCTCTTCTGCGTAAAAGTTTCTGTGCGTAAAAGCTCTTCTGTGTAAAAGTTTCTCTGTGTAAAGGTTTTTCTGTCTAAAAGCTTCTCTGTGTAAAAGCTCTTGTGTGTAAAAGCTTCTCTGTGTAGAGGCTCTTCTGTGTAAAAGTATCTGTGTGTAAAAGTTCTTCTGCGTAAAAGCTCTTCTGTGTGTAAAAGCTCTTCTGTGTAAAAGCTCTTCTGTGTAAAAGCTTCTGTTTGTTTAAGCTCTTCTCTGTAAAAGCTTTTCTGTGTAAAACCTTCTGTGTGCAAAAGCTCTTCTTTGTAAATCTCTTCTGTGTAAAAAGTTTTGTGTGTAAAAGCACAAGCTCAGCTCTTCTGTGTAAAAGCGCTTGTGTGTAAAAGCTCTTCTTTTTGTAAAAGCTCTCTGTGCAAAAGCTCTTCTGTGTAAAGCTCTTCTGTGTAAAATGCTCTTCTGTGTGTGAAAGCTCTTCGGTGTGTGTAAAGGCTCTTCTGTGTAAAAGCTCTTCTGTGTAAAGGCTCTTCCGTGTAAAAGCTTCTGTGTGTAAAAGCTCTTCTGTGTAAAAGCTCTTCTGTGTGTAAACGCCCCTTCCCAGAACCGCGCGCCACACTTTGTGCAAGCCTGCGCAGTCGAACTGCACTTGGACATTGCACAAGTGCCACTTTATACGGAAATTTACAGGAAAAATGCCGCAGACCAAAACCGCGCCGCAGACTTTGTGCGAGCCTGCGCAGTCGAAACGGACATCAACATGTCAGAAGAGCCACTTTACACGGAAATTTACAGGGAAAAGGCCGCCGGACAGAATTTCGCCCGGCCATCTTCAGTCTTGGCGTCCGGAAAAGGCGAAAGCCCTTTTTGGAGGTTTCACAAATCGCACAGTTGGGATCACCCGATTCGCAACCAACTCCTCGAAGAAGAAGTAGGTATGACCCACCACGAGTCCAAGAAGCTGGTCCTGAAAAGGGAAAATTTCCCCCCAAAGTCGTGTTCTTCGTCGTCTCAAAGTACTTTCCAATCAGCCACATCTTGGATGATCATCATGCACCCCACTTGCTGTCGGAATTCTCCAGGGTTGATGCTGACTCTAGCTCTTGCACTCTTCATGTATCATGAGATTTTGATCCTGGACGTTACCTCCCAGGAGAACCAACGGTGCAAATGATGCAATCTGCGAAAAAAATCTCTCTTAGTTCGGCTTTCTCCACGTGCCTCCCATCAGAAGGGATATCCATGAGAGAACCTCAGCGAGGCAATGTTCTGAAATGGAACAAAAAATGCGGAAAAATAGATTGATTTGGGCCGGTCTGGTATACCATTCATCATTTCATTGTGCCTCTGATGTTTTGGAAAGGTCTACACATCACTCTACAAACCACTGTAAACAGAAATATGATGATGATGATGATGATGATGTTTCCGAAGTGAAACTGAGGGTTGGCCCCTCATCTAATCAACCAAGCAGTAGTCAAGTAGCCAGTAGGACAAGGCACCCAGGGCAAATATGGCGTGCGGATGGTGAAAAACAGCACCTGGCAGCATGTTTGTGATCTGGTTGATTGACTTCTCCTTAAAGTGGCACGGGTCGAAAGCCATGTTCAAAAATCTCCCAGTGATCGCAAACAGCACACGCCCTTCAATCACTGGTAGCCTTGGGGATCACATTCGCATGACACCATCTGCAACCAACAACTCGACCTGCATTCTTGCCGTTGGATTCCGCCGGCCCCAGAGATATGTCATGAGGTCAATCAGTGCTCCACTCACAAAGTACCTGGCACTGCAACAGGCGTGGAGCGGAGCTTTGCTCAAAACTCTGATTAGAAGTTTACAATCCCCGGTATTTGGTATTTGGTCATCAGTTTGGTAGGTCAGAAAACTCTCAGGGTCTAGAATCTGGATGTCTGAAGGAATCTCAAAATGACAACCAGCTATTCTAGAACTGGGTCATTGATGAGCGTGTTGCAAGATTCTTTGTCAAGGAGTTTTCAGAGGTAGCGCATGCACTAGTGATACCTACTCTTTCTGTTTGGTGCATGAATCACATATCAAGATTATCAAGCCTGCTGGGTCGTAGCCATAAGTAGGCACTCAGTCCTTCTGTGTTAAAATCTGATGAGAAACATGGCGCGCTGGCTCCCAAACAAGTAGGCCAGCACCACAATCATACCTCTCCACAACCGCAAGTCGTGTGAGTTGCTGCATGTTGCCCCAGCAAGAACAAGAGCCATGTCGACAAAAAACGCATTTTGTGCACAGCGCCTGCGCTACAGACCAGCATCCACAGGTACTCGGCCGATTTTCTTTGAAAGGCCACATCTTCCAGCCAGGAGCAATAGTGTAC